TGCAAGTACCTGGTTGCTTCCTCGCGACCCGGATGCCTCCATCGATAGGTATTTGGCTCCTGGAAAAGTGTTGGCCTTTGAACACGGCTGTTGTACCATGGTTTGTGCCAAGCCAGCAAGAACAGGTCCGATCGAAAGAAGAAACGAATCAAACTGCGCTTCCTCTACTTTATCCCCCCAAAAGCCCAGTCGCTCGCAACAGGCAGGCTGTTTGTTCCAAAGGAAGGTTCCTTTTGGTGGGATGATCTTCAGTGGGTAAACGCTTAATACTTTCCAAATTTGGGTTTGTCTTTTTTTGGTGTGTTGAGTTGCTTCAAAAGGCAGAAGGTGGGACCTCCCCGAATCATACCCCCGAATCATACCCCCGAATCATACCCCGAATCATACCCCCGAATCATACCCCTTAAAACGTATGCTGCAAGATGCTAATGTTCTTCTACCGTTTTGTGTTGTTCACTGTCTCCACAACAACCACCACCAGCGCTACCCAATACTACCACTACCACTGCCACTGCCACTACTACTACTACTACTACTACTACTACTACGACTCCAACTACTACTACTACTACTACTGCTACTACCACTACTACTACTACTACTACTACTACTGCTACTACTGCTACTACCGCGACTACGAGCATTACTACCACTACCACCGCTACCACCGCTGCTACTACTACTCTACTGCTTCTACTTCTGCTACCCTTACTACTAACCACTACAACTACAACCTTGACTACTACTACTACTACGATTACTACCTTTATTACTACTACTACTACTACTACTACGACTACAACTTGACTACTACTACTACTACTACTACGACTACTACCTTTACTACTACTACTACTACTACTACTACTACGACTACAACCTTGACTACTACTACTACTGCTACTGCTGCTGCTACTACTACTACTACTACTACTACTACTTCTACTACTACTATTCCTGCTTCTGCTGCTGCTGCTGCTACTACTCACTACTACCACATACATCATTCTGAGTCTGTAATCAGTGCCGTTTTGCACCTAGCCGAATCATACCCGCGAATCATACCCGAATCATACCCGGACAATGAGCTTCCCTGCCAAGGCTAGTGCTAAGTCTTTTTCACAGCGTCCGCACCACTACAGCCGCTGCTGCTTATGCTACAGCTGCTACCACTACTTCTGCAACTGCTACTACTACTACTACCACTACTACTGCTACTACTACTACTACTACTACTACCACAGCTACTACGAGTTTGTAATCAGTGCCGTTTTGCACCTAGCCGAATCATACCCGCGAATCATACCCGAATCATACCCGCGCAATGAACTTGCCTTGCCAAGGCCAGCGCCAAGTCTTTTCAAAGCTTCCGCGCCACTACAGTCGCTGCTTCTACTCTTACTACTACTACTACTACTACTACTACGACTACTAGTACTACTACTACTACTACTACTACTACTACTACTACTACTACTACTACTACTACTACTACTACTACTACTACTACTACTACTACTACTACTACTACTACTACTACTACTACTACTACTACTACTACTACTACTACTACTACTACTACTACTACTACTACTATTGTTACTACTACAATATTACTACTAGTACTACTACTTCGGCGACTACTGCTACTACTACTACTGCTGCTGCTGCTTCCGCGAATCATACCCCCGAATCATACCCCGAATCATACCCCGAATCATACCCGCGAATCATACCTGCGAATCATACCCCGTACTCAAACCTTCCTGCCCGGCCACCCTAAAAAATACAAACCCTGACATTTAGTTGGTCATCTTCAGCAACCAACTGGGAAAAGAGCAGGATGTGTGGGGGTCCTGAGACGCGAGAACCCCCCCTCGTCCCATAAACATTGAAATTGCAGACTCAAACCCATAGAACCCAAGGTGCCAAAGCCGCCAGAAGTGGCTGCACAACGGTCCCGTAACCCTCCCCTCCCCCCCCCCCCCAAGATGCCGCCGTCCAGGCGCATGGGGTGCAGCCCATGCTGCAGCGCTTGGAGCGGCGCCAGCAGGAGCCAGGCGCCGACATTTAGAGGGCGGGGTGGGGTGTGGGGTAAGCAGAGGTTGGCTGGGTTCAAAATGAATCCAACCTTGTATTTCAACCGTCAAAGGGGTGGTTTGACAATTCCAGAGTTTTTACGTCTGGATGGTCAACCAAGTGGTTGAGTCCGCAGTCAACTCTCGACTTTTTTTCTGGGAGTGTGGAGGGAAATCAAAGGGAAACCTCCCTGGTTGGTTTTTGCAGGGCGTCTTTGGGGCAGTCCTAGGGTGAGCTTTGTGACGCAGCGCGGTGTTTTTAAGGGAAACCAAAGGAGCCTTTCCGGAGCTTTTGTTGGGCGGTCGTTCTTGGGCTATGTTTCATTTTTGTTCGGATGTTAAGGGGAACGCCGCGCATTGCGGGGGAATCCGGTGAGCTGGGGTCCAGTCATTTGAAGATGTTCGCTATTTCGAGGCTCTGTTTTGTTGGCTTGTTTCTTTTGTTGGCGCGCTGAGCCGGGCCATCCCGGCCTCATCGATTCGAGTTCCTGGACACCTTCGGTCGCGGGGCGGACTTATGGCTTCTGAGCGGCTATGGACCCTTGACACCCAAAGCCGGTGCACATTTGTATGACAGAAGCTTTATCCCAGCGGCAAACACAAGGCATTTTTTTTTCAGGCACCAATCTTGATGTACATTTCCCATGATTTCCCTTGTTTGGTAAGAGGAACAAGCTACTAGGGGGGCCTGCCTTCATAACTTCCAGTTCGGGGTGGGGATGTGTGCAGCTTCTCCCGGCAGCGCGATCAGTTGCTTTTCCTTGATCCGTGGAAAAGAGCAAGGAGGTTGCGCGGGGAGACAACAAACAAAAAACAATTTGTACATTTCGAGGGGTTGTTCAAGGGGACCCCCAAATGGCAAATACCATTCTTTTGGGTGGGCCCTCGATTTGGAGACACACCCATATGCAAACGCCTAAACAGATTGGATCGAGCTCACCCTTACTTTGTCGCTCTCCTTTTTTTTTTTTTTCTCTCTCTCTCTCTCTCTCTCTCTCCTCTCTCTCTCCTCTCTCTCTCCCTCTCCTCCCTCTTTTTCGCATGGACCTGCTTTTTGCCAGGTGAGCCGGCGAGGCGGGTGAAAAGGGGCACCCAAGTGCAGCTTCTTTTGACCTGGGCGCTTTGTGGGGGTGTTTCCCCCAAAAATGGCAGGGTACTCGGCATTGTCCTTGGATCATTCTTGGTTGTTTCCGATAATTTTGTGGCTCCCAACAAAGGCATCATGTTGCTTTTGCGCAGGTTCGTCTTTGGGTCTGAGGCAAAGGTGTCATCCTCGGTTTGTGTGCTGGATCAATCTGCTTGTCTGGGACAGAGAAATCCTGAGCACTCCTGACTTTCATAGGAAACTGCCATCAGGCAATGATTGCAGCATCGGACACAGCTCCGCGCGCGCGATGTTGTACTGTTGGTTCATGCACAGATGGACAATTTGAGAACCCATGCATACTCGAAAGCTGTGCTATGCCAGGCTTTCGTTTTAAGTTTTTCTTGCAGTTGTTCTTTTTCTCAAGCTTATTACGCGCCTCTCTTGAAGCTTGCCCCTTGGCTTGTTCATAGGCCGGGTGTTGAGTCGCTGGTTGTGCCTTTCAGGCTTGCCGAGCCACAGGAGGCGTGGGCTCTTGCGCGCACGACTTGTGTTGTTGTTGTTGTTGTTGTTGTTGTTGTTGTTGTTGTTGTTGTTGTTGTTGTTGTTGTTGTTGTTGTTGTTGTTGTTGTTGTTGTTGTTGTTGTTGTTGTTGTTGTTGTTGTTGTTGTTGTTGTTGTTGTTGTTGTTGTTGTTGTTGTTGTTGTTGTTGTTGTTGTTGTTGTTGTTGTTGTTGTTGTTGTTGTTGTTGTTGTTGTTGTTGTTGTTGTTGTTGTTGTTGTTGAAGGCAGAGCAAGCACCGATTTCGGCTGGTGCAAACGGGAATTCACAAGGAAATCACGCATTTTGGAGGTTTCCGAGTTTCGAGGTAAAGGACATGTTTCCGTCCAAAGCAGGTAGGCGGCATTGTCGCATGTTCTTTTCCCCCCTTTGTTCGCGGGAGACTTGTCGGTTTGTTGGTGTGTGGCAAATTGTGGCAAGGGGCTGCAAAGGGGCAAGGATTTCCATGTCAGCTTCGCATTCCTGGGAATATGAAAAAATATGGATGGTGGAAAGTATGGAGACAGTTTGGAGCCGCATTGCCTGATAGGTCTACCTTTGTGTTTTTGGGTCTCTTTGAAAAGCTCGAGCAGTTCATGACTCCTCCCCCGACCCATCGAAGTCATGGTTTTGTTTTTGTTTTGGAGGGCGGAGGGGTGGGGTCAGGAGGCTCCACTCGACTCATGCCACAACAGCCGAGCTTCGGACGCCGCGTGAGCTCGCGTCAGGCGAGTTTGCCGGCAGCCCAGCGAGCGACTTTGGGGCCGTTCGAGGGATGCACGGCGGGTGGATGGTAGGAGGTTCTTTTGGGGCAACCTGTGATTCAATATGTGATTTGGAGTCTTGTCTGACAAGCACAGCTATATATAAAGCAGACAATTATATACACAACATTATGATAATTTAAAATAGATGTATGTCCCTTTCGAGGGCCCACCTTTCTCCTTTTTGCGCAAAAGAGACTTGTTTGCAGATGTTCTTGGGACAAGATGCAAAACCCAGATGCAATGTCAGAGAACAGTTTTTTTCTTCTGCCTTTTTGTGAGCCTGTGCAGGTTTCAGAGCTTTTAGCTTCTTTTTTTTTCCTTCATGTTTTTGAGCCTGTGCAGGCTTTGGAGCTTTGGGTTCTGAAAAGATGCACAGGCTAAACAATGCAAAACTACTGTAAAGCCTTTATTTGGAGCCAACAGGGTCTTTGAGCTTGTTGGATTGCACAACTTGAAGTTTGAAGGAACGGCAGCCTGCGGCTCGAGGCCCATGCAGGTTGCCATTTTTGTGGCGGCACCATCTGGCAAGCCATGGCAACATCTTGGGAGGAGCTGATTAGCACGACCGAAGCGGCTAAGCCGCCCGAGGATGTGCTGCAAGCAGCCGTGCAGTTTCTGACAGATGTTGCAAAGTTGCCAGATCCGAACGCGGCAAGTGGGGTAACTGAGGCTGATGTGGACAAATGTACATTGCCAGAGCTATTGCCAGCTGCAGCTTTGATCCGCAGATTGGTTAGACACATAGAAGCCTTGGACAAGGCCAGAATGGCCCAGGCAACCGCCAGGACTGCGCTGGCAAACGTGCCGCTTTCTGCCAAATCGTTGGCGTCAGCTTTGGCACCAGCCAAAGCCCCAGATGTGGCAGACATGTTGCTGAAGTGCGGGCTGTCAAAGCTGGGCTTCCATGTTCAAGCTGACCAGTCGCTATACATTGCTTTGCAGCTGGCGTCGGAGGAAGCAAAGGCTCAAAGCAGAACGCCCTTCACCTACGTTGACCTCACGAGCAAAGAAGCCCTGCCTTTGTGGCTCCCAGCAGACAAAGTGGGCGGAAAATTTACTTTGCGTGATGATGACGAGTCTAGATTAGCTGGACACCATGCAATTGGATCGCTCAGTGATCTGTCAAAAGCCCTCAAGGGAGCCACTGCCAGCCCCAGGTTTTTCCGAAATGTACAGCAGTGGGTGGCTGCCTTCGTGCGATATGCCACCACGGCAGTGGCAACTGGGCAGATGACGTGGCCAGTTGTGTTTGGTCACTTGGATGTCGTCTTGCAGATCTGCGAGCAGGAGAAGATCAAGGGCAGAGCAGCCTACTTGGCCTTCCTGTACGATGACCTTGTCCGTCGTCAGTGGGCACGTAGGGCGGAAAAACGTGACCCGTCGCTGGACATCCTGGCAGAGTCTCAGAAAGTAGACAAGGACATGCTGGAGTTGGCGCGGCAGCGGGTAAGTCAAGTCCTGCAAGAGGTTGGCTTGGCCGAGAGTGCCGTGCCCAAGGCTTTGCCAGCCCCAGCAGACATCCCCATGTCCTCAGACCCAACAGCAGTGGCCAAGCAGTTGGCTGCTGCTGAGCAAGCTCAGAAGAGGGCTGAAGCAGCCAGTAAGAAGTTGGGCGAAGTTCAGGCGCAGCTCATGGCAAAAGCTTCAGCGGCAGCAGGAGGCGGACAGTCAGGAAACCTTACCAAGAGGCAGCATAAGACCATGAACTGGTTTTCCAAGCAGGCGAATAGACGCCAGCAGCAACAGGACAAGCGAGGTGGTCAACGCTGACTATTGGGAGACACTCAAGGCCCAGAGCTTGTCCAAGGACACGCGCCCCGGACCTTGCAGTTGCTTCCTGACGTTGCTTCTGGATGCTTTGAGCTGGACGCATCGCAATCCGGGTTTTTGGAGGTATTCAGCGGAGAAGCAGTTTTCACACTGGCTGCCATGGCGGCTAGCATGCCAGTTCTCCACCCCTGGGATATTAAATTCGACTTGCGATTTGATGTTGTGTCGCAAGGACACATTCTGCTTCGCTTGGCGCAGCGGGGAAAGATCGCAGCTGCTCATTTTGCAATTCCCTGCCAGTCCCTTTCCTGGGCCCGTGCCCCGCAGTTGCGAAGTGCAAACTTCCCTTATGGGGTACCCAACTTGCTTCCGCATCAGGCTGACCTGGTGGCCCTTGGGAATTGCCTTTTGGAGTTTACTGCGTCCATGTGCGTGACCTTGATGGAGCAAGGCTGCTATTTTAGTGTGGAGAACCCGGAACTTTCATGGCTTTGGGTGCTTCCGCCATTTGCAAAGCTTCGAGCTCATGACGGGGTGTCCCTCACTAGGCTGGTGTTTTACGCTGCATGGCCTACAGCAAGGTGTGTGCCCATGGCAGGCGCCTACCATTCCCCTTCGAGGTGTGGTAGAGTGGCAGGGTGAGAAAGTGTTCCGCACAAGGCTGGCCCAGGTTTGCAGAGCTTTTGGACACTGCCTTGAAGGTCAGGGCTCGTGCGCTGCAGACGTCCTGGCCAGTTCCTATGGCGGCGGCAGGTGACACCTGCCCCTTGCCGCTGAAGCTGCAAGCGGAAGAAAGAAACATGTGTCCTCACATAGAGGTGCAGTTTGTGCCATGGGGTGCAGGTGCCATTGAAGGCTTGACGCCGCTGCAGCATGTTCAATTTGCCCTCACTTTGCCGCACCCTGCCTGCGAAGCGAGTGTGATTGACCCTGCCGTTCAAGAGGCCATTGACTTTGAATTGGCGTTGCCAACCCCTGATGTGGACGCATTCAGACAAGAGCGATTGGAGCGACTAATTTTCATCGCAGCGCAGCTGGAAATGGAGCAATCCGTGTGGTCGGAGGGAGCCCCGCCCACGCTCCAGCCTGTGGTGAGGCGCATCCATGGTCCGCTGTGGAAAATGTTGCTCCACGCCCAGAAGCCTTCCTGCGGGCATTGCAGCAAGGCTTTCCTCTGGTAGGGGTTCTTCCAGAATGCGAAGGGTCGGCGTCAGCTGCGTACCCTTCCTTTCCTTTGTCTGTCCAAGAGTTGAGGGCAAACCGCGAAGCTTTGAACCAAAAAGTGGTAAGCTCGCTTGGGGAGTTGCCGCATAGCTCTGACATTCTGGAACAAACGCTGGAAGATTCCCAGGAGGGCTTCATGTCTCCGCCGCGCTTACTGGTGCCGAGCGACTTGCGCACCAAGTCCTTGACTCGGCGCATACCAGTGCGGGAAGAAAGGGCATCAGGGTGGCGCACGCGAGTGGTCGACCATGAGACTGAGAGCGGAATAAATTCTGCCACTGCCCCAGTTGACAAAATCCAGCACCATTCACTCGACTCGCTAGTGGTGTTGCTGCAGAGGTTCATGTCTGCAGGAGTGGAAGCTCACATGTGGAAGCGGGACATTTCCAAAGCGTTCCGTCGTGTCCCTATCCAGGCTGACCATCATGATTTGGCCTGGACGGTGTGGAAGTCTCATGGGCAAATATGGGTGTCGCAGCACTTCGGCATGCCGTTTGGCACCATCTCAGCTGTCTATGGGTGGCACCGGGTGGGCCACATGCTGTGGCTGATTCTAGTGAGATTCTTCCTGGCGCCAGCGAATCGTTATGTGGATGACTATTTCGGCGCGTCCAGATCAGGAGTTACATGGTCATCAGGACGTATCCTCTCGGTTTTGAGCAGGCTGCTGGGGTTCCCAACGGACCACTCCAAAGATGCAGATGCAACTTGGGAAATGGTTGTCCTGGGTGCTTCAGTGCAAGTCTCATGGAAGCAGCAGCAGATTTTCACTCACGTCAGCCATGACAAGGCCCAGAAATATAGGGCATTGCTTCAGCACATGCTGGATTGCCAGGAACTTGCGGGGCGGGAGAAGCCTCCAAAATGGCAGGGAGACTGGGGTTCTCAGTGACCGTGTCTGGGAACAAAGTGGGTCGTGCTTACATCAAGCCTTTTCACGCGCAGGCGCATGACCCCTTACCAAAAGGCGGCTTGTCGCCAGCGCTTCGCAGAGCCGGGGCCTGGTTTCTGCAATACTTGGAATGTTGCCCCGTGTCAGTGCGCATGCTTCCTCAAGACAGCAGATCTCAAGTGGTGACTTGGTCTGACGCAGCAGGTGAATCCAGATGGATTGCCGCAGTGCTGTGGCACCAAGGGCAGTTTCTGTTTACTCGCATGCAAACGCCCGCGGCTTTGTGGGACATGCTGTTGGAAAGAAACGATCACCAAATCCAATTTCAAGAGCTGCTAGCGCTGCTGTTGGCATGGGGCACATTCTTCCCCTTGCTCACGAGGGCTGCGTGGATGGCATTTGTGGACAACAATTCTATTTTACACCCTCTCCTGAAAGGAAGCGGAGGCAGTCCCGAGACACATTCCTGTGTGGGTCGCCTGTGGCTGGAGCTGGCAAAAGCAGGAGCCTTTTTGCATGTGGCCAGAGTGGAAAGCGCTGCGAATGTGGCAGACGGGCCAACACGCGAAGATCTCACTGTGCTTGCCAGATTGAGCGCAAAGTTTGTGCCACCGCACTTACCCGAATGGGTCAAGGACATGTGGTCATAAATATGAGTTGCTGGGATGCGCGTGCTTGCTCTGTTGAACTCTGCTCGGATGTTGGCTCAAAGAATTCAGCGAGTGGCAATGCCAGAGTTGTGCCATGACCGTTTTCTGGCGCAAGAGTGGGCCCAGCAAGTGACTCGGGCATGGCTGCTGAAGGATGCAAAGACGTTGCACACAAAGCTTCACGCGGCAGAGCGCATGAACGTGGATGCTTCGATTTTGAGCGCCAGTGGCGCCGGATTTATCCTCAATGCTGACCGGGTGTGGGGATTGCTGCCCAATGAGTGGCAGCGCAGAAGACAGGCCTTGCTGTTGTCTTGGAAAGCTCAGGCCAAGAAAAGGGGTGCAGGGCAGGACAAGGCCTTGCGACCATTTGCAGGCCTCAGAGCCGATGCCTTCGAAGCAGCGGTCATGAAGATGGCAGAGTTTCTCCAGGGTGTAGAAGAGTCTGCGTTGGTCAGCGCATGGCAGCTTGATGCAGCGGTGCTCCTGGTGACCAGTGGCTTTCAAGACCCCGCTCATTTGGTAGGGGCACGTCCAAAGGAGGTCGCCAACCTGGCCATGTGTGAGAAGGTCCGGACGCTTCTCATGTCCGCAGTGTCGGCCATGAACAACAAGCCAGCAAAGAAAGGCGATCTTACCACTGGCGGGGCAGTGGCCACGCTACCAGCGACATTGGTAGCTGAAAGCCTGAAGAAAGCTAACGTGGGCATTTCCGCAATTTGCAATAGTCCATCATTGACTTGCAAGCAGTTACAGCAGTTGCCGCCCAACGTGGCCCGTGAGCAGCTTGAGAGTGCAATCTCTTCCCTGAAGCTGCAGACACGAATGGGCTCCTTGAAGTGTGTGGCGTCAGGGCTTCGTCTTTGGCACACGTTTGCTTGCGCAGTGCTGGGCTATTCGGAAGACAGTTCTCTTCCCCCAAAGTGTGCGCACGATGTGTCCCTGTTTGTCGCAATTTTCGGAAACCCAGGGACTGCCAGAAATTATGTGGGGTATCTGAAATGGGCGTGCGAATACATGTCCTTGTCCTTGGAGTGGCATAGCGGTGAACTCAAAATGACTCTGCGGGGGCTCCACAAGCAGTATGTGGCATCAAGGGCAGGCGCCTTGACCAGGCGCAGGCTGATGCACGAAGATTTGCTGACACGTCTTCTCACCTTAGCCGATGGCATTGATTTATTCAGCCAGCTAGGAGATGTGGTGCTCTTGAGTTGGCAAGCTCTGCTAAGAGTTCAGAGTGAGGCCTTGCCTTTGGAGCAGGGCACTTTTAAAGATGTGCATGATTTGCCCCCGGAAGACATTCCGCAGTGTTTGTTGATCCCGCCAACACTTTGCATTTGCGATTGCGTCAGCGAAAGCATCGGCCACAGGGTTCCTTGTTGGTTAGACCGTGTGTGTGTGTGGGCCTCACCAGCGGAGCCCGCTGTGTGTGGGGCACCGTCTGGCTGTGCGGCTGGGGCAACTTTCCCGCGGCCAACGGCTTTTTACTTTGACACAGTCTGTGGCGCTGACTCGTTTTCGCAACATGCTCAAGTTGTTGCAAATTCCTGACCACAAGGGGTTCTCATTCAAGTGTTTGCGGGCCGGAAAGGCAGCAGCTCTGGCTCGCGAAGGTTTCTCCCTTTTCCAGGTGATGCAGGCAGGAGAGTGGAGATCTTCCGCAGTGCTCGCGTATGCAGATGAAGATGAATTCGATAAAGCTGCGTTTCTCAATGTAGCTTGTGACTCAGGTAGTTCAAGTGATGTAGACGGCTGAGCATCAAATTTTCCAGTGCGCCGATGGGTGTCAGTTTGTTGCGACGATGGGAACAGGCACTGGTCTTTTCCTAGTGGCAGCAACCCAAGCTTTGCCACATCGCATGTGCCGGCTGTTGTTTTTACACTTCCAGTTTGGACGTTTGTGGGTGGCCTTGTGGTGTGCTGTCTGGGAAGGACGGTTGCCTTGTTTTGACACAGTTGTGTACCCAATGTGACAATCGCTGTGCCTATGTCAAAGGCGTGCTGGGGAGTGATTCAGCCTATGAAGGCCATGGCTGTGAACTTTGGTCCGTGACATTTAGGCAGCGACATTCAAATTGAGAGTTGTGTGGAGCCAACAGGGTCTTTGAGCTTGTTGGATTGCACAACTTGAAGTTTGAAGGAACGGCAGCCTGCGGCTCGAGGCCCATGCAGGTTGCCATTTTTCCCACCCAGTTTATTTCCCAACCCTGAGCTGCCTGATCGCGGTTCCTTCAGTTCAAACAGCACAAGCTGACATAGGGAACAGGCACTGGTCTTTTCCTAGTGGCAGCAACCCAAGCTTTGCCACATCGCATGTGCCGGCTGTTGTTTTTACACTTCCAGTTTGGACGTTTGTGGGTGGCCTTGTGGTGTGCTGTCTGGGAAGGACGGTTGCCTTGTTTTGACACAGTTGTGCACCCAATGTGACAATCGCTGTGCCTATGTCAAAAGGCGTGCTGGGGAGTGATTCAGCCTATGAAGGCCATGGCTGTGAACTTTGGTCCGTGACATTTAGGCAGCGACATTCAAATTGAGAGTTGTGTGTTCTGAGGAACATGATGTGCTTCAAGAGGAAGTGCTGCCCATTAGGAAAAGGAAGAACAGCAAGTTGAAGACTATATGACATATTCGGAGAAGTCTTCAAGCGAAAGGGCGCTGGCATGTCCTCGAAGACGTGCTTTGCCTTGGTCTTGTCCTGGGGATGATCGAGAGGAAGGTCAGGAGGCGAGACACGACTACGAGGCAAGTCCACCACTTGGGCTTGGACAAGTTCTTGGGGAAGAGCCTGTTGGTGGCGTTCAGGGCCGTTTCCAGAGACGTTTCGCTGGTTCTGACATCACAGCTACTCCAAAAAAAAGGCACCTTGAATGACCTTGTTTGAGCTTCTAGCAGTAGAGTAGTGCAACAAGGAACTGTGCATGAAGTATAGGAGACAACATAGTTTGAAATCATCAGTGTTAACATATCGTACAAGTGAAAAGGTGGGCCTGGGGGGCGTACAAATGCAATTGTTGATCTGCGTGCGTGTGACGTGTGGCGGCCACCCATTTTTGAAGACCAGTGCCTGCTTCAAGGCAACCCCTGAAGCAAGACCTGGTGCCGGTTCCGCGGGGCGGCCCGGGTCGTTCTCCTTCCGTCGCGGCGCGCCAGACATGATTGTTGCTCCTGATAGTCATGGGCCAGCGATGTTAGCAAAGTCGGACGCGGGGAATGCCCAAGCGGGTTGTTTACCAGAAGGACTGGTTGCTGGAGATTAACTCCTATCTAAATGATGCGCGCCAAAGGCTCCAATCAGTTGAGAAGAATTCATCTTCATTTGGGTGGCTTTAATTGGAAACCATGCGTCAGGCCGGGGGCGCCGCCGGTGCCTCGGGAGCAGTTCTTCAAGCACGTAAAAGGGGGGGGCCCCAGGTCCTCCAAAGCATGACTGGACACAAACCAAGGTCACTTCCTCAGCATTCCACCTTTGAGACACCCGCGTGTTTGGAGTGGCAATTTTGGGCTCATGTTGATTTGCGGCATAACTGGCTCTGCGAGATTGATATTTAGTTGGGGCAGAGGAGCTTGAACGCCCTCCCTTCCGCTCATTTTTGGTTTAGTCTTTCTTTCGCTGCTGTGCCAATGTCTTTTTTGACATATCTCTCACCTGAAGTGGGCGGTCAGTCGCGAATCCAGGAATGCGTATTCCAGCTACCGCCAGTGAAGCGACAGCCCAGAAGATCGTTCAGGACATGAAAAAACGTGGTGCCGGTGCCAGCCCCTTCGATGTCAAAGACATGATGGACACGACTTTTTCCTACCAGCTCTTGTTTTTTTGATTGCTCAATGGACCAGTCCACAAGCATGATACCTGCGGAAAGTCACATGAAGTATTGCAAAGGATTTTAGGTCCAATGTTGATGTGGTTTCGATGTTCATCTAAACAACAAACAAACTGGCCAAATGCAATATTGCAGCAGAATAGAACTTGTAGCACGCTAGTCCGGGATGAAGTATGATTCTTTCGTGGCGGTTGTTCACTAGTCAGGAACTGTATTCATGAAATCTAAGGTCTGATATCTATTGTCCAGATTTCGCCTTCGAACCTTCGGTGCACCACTAGATTAGACACGTGACAGCCCACACCATTTAACAACAGTGTGCGCACACACTGGCAAGGGCCAGTGCTTCAATCATCGCCGGATTTGGCCACAAACACTTTCAAATTGTCCACTGCATCATTACAAGCAACAGAGAGAAGAACAAGACCCACTACAGTCTCAATCGTTCATCAGGAATCTCTGACAGAACACCATAGTGTCTATGGCATCGTTGAGCGTTGCATTGTGTTGCTTTCTCTTTGTATTCCTTGTTGTGGTGCCTGACTGCTAGGAGGATTTGCACACTTTTTGTTTCAGGCATCTCTGGAAGTGGTTTCAGGCTTTCGCTGTCCATTTTAACTTGGATGAATTACGATATGTGCCAACCAGGTTCTTGAATCTGACAGTTTTGGACGAACAACACGTGCGCCCCTTTCACTCTCTCGCTCTGTCGCTCTCTCTCTCTCCTCTCTCTCTCTCTCCTCTCTCTCTCTCTCTCCCTCTCTCTCTCTCTCTCTCTCTCTCCCTCTCTCTCTCTCTCTCTCTCTCTCTCTCTCTCTCTCTCTCTCTCTCTCTCTCTCTCCTCTCTCTCTCTCTCTCTCTCGCTCTCTCCCTCCCCCTCTGTTTTGAAATCTCTCCCTCTCTCTCTCTCTCTGTCTTTTTCAAATCTCTCACTCTCTCACTCTCTCACTCTCTCTCTCTCTCTCTCCCTTTCTCGATCGAGATGTCCAGTCAAAAGGTACACCCTGGCATCGCAGACAGCCGTCCGACCGATCGCCCGCCCCAGCCCTTGCCGCTGCTTTGTTTTCAGGCCGGAAGTCGCCGCTGCCGCGGAGTACCACCACCGAAGGCTTGGGAACAGATCGGGACATGTTCAAAGCGGGGATCGATTGCTTTGAAAGGAAACCCAGACGAAGGAAGCCGTTTGGAAGGGCTACGTGCATGTCAACGGAGTGTGGAAAAGGGTGAAGGAGGTGCTCCCTGCATTGGTTTAGAAGGTTGTGCTAAGCTTGTGCTAAGCTGGCCCAAGGGCCTGGTTCCAAGTAGCTTTGGGCGCGCGAAGCGCAGATTGGGAGTGATCGTTTCGCGGCATGTTCTGTTTGCAACAATCTTGGGATTTACTACCGCACACCTGGTGCATTCGTTGATTGAGTTCTGTTGGCTGGCGAGCAAACCAGCTGACTACTGTAGTACAGTGACCAAAGAAAAATGGACAATTGTTTGGGTGTTCTCATGTTCTCGCTCTTTCTTCCCGTGCCTGTTTCTGTCTCCCAGTCCCTAAGTCGCTTTCTCTTGCTCTTTTCTTTCTCTTTTAGCTCTCTTTTGCTGGCTCTTCCGCCTTCTCCTTCACTGTCCATTTTTCGTCCTCTTTCTTTCACTCCGTCCCTGTATGGATTGTATGCATGTTAAGGTGGGTGGTTTCCCTCAAACAGCCTGCCAACCAGCGCCACCACCCCCATAAGAGGACTGTCAATGTGTCAAGATAGAGCAATCTCCGAAATGAGTAGTTTCCTTTCAGCTTTCTAACCCTCCACCTTGTTCCGCACGAATTGGTTCAACGCGCCCAAATGACGATGCAGGCTGCAGATGCAGGGGGCCGTCACGGCGCTCGAGCCCGGGCGCTCGAACTGAAAGCGACTGGGTCAACTCCGCCTGTTTCTCTTGGAGCCATTCGGATTCTCCCCAAGATTGCAGTTCCTTTCGAAGAAATCCCCCTCGAATCGATGGCCTAGCTGCTCGTGGCCAATGGCCTGCGGCCACGGGGCAGCGAAGTCCGGGGTCGAGACGGCTGAGGCCCGAGCGCATGCGCGCCATCATGGTGCTGCGGGATAGGCCTGGGCTGCGGTTCGTTTGCCGTGGAGTTCGATGGACATGATTGGAATTGGTATATCGTCATTTTGCTTTGGTGCCTACTGAAGTAAAGGGAGAAAGAGGTCGTGCTTTTTCCCAAACTGAGTCAACAAACGAGGGAGGTTTTCAAGATGGAGGAAGTCGACTAAAGCGGAAGCACCTTGCCCATTCCTGTTTGTCCATTGGCAGGCCTTGAATTCGGTACCTGACCCACTTTGCGGTCTAGTCTTCAAGCTTTAGTTAGTTCAACAGCAGAAACCTCAGAAGCCCAAGTTCTGACGATCTGTGGACATGCGATTGACACTCTTGCCTTTCCGGATTTCCTTCTTGCGTAAGCTGCTGGCATTCGAAGATAGCACTGGTGCTTGGAAGGGAACCAACATGTTTTTGGGACGTGGCATGTGTGCGCGTGCGTTTCTCCCGAACAGCGGGAGTCCTTTCCGTTTCGGATGGTACCCCGAAGAACACCTGCGTCATGTGCCCTCCCCCCCCCCCCTTGCCGGTTCTTTCCAGGCTGGACAAGCGACGCGAGAAGGGGCTGCCAACACCGACGGACTGCAAGCAGCACCAGGCCGCCACCAAGATCCAGGCGGGTGTGGAACGCCTCAAAAATGAGGGTGCTGGGGAGGGACCCCCCCCTCAAAAAGTTGGTCGACTTCCCAAAAGATCAAGGGTAAAGACCCGGGGTTGCATCGAGACTTGAACAGACTTCCAAACCGCAAGGGTAGAACATCAGTTTGGCTTCCACCAACTGGTGCGTTTCACCCAGGCAATCCAAGGCCTAAGCTTGGGATGGATGATGATTTGGTGGCCAGTGAGCCTCGGACCGGAATCCCAGTGACTTTCACTCAAGGGACATGTTTACACATTCTCACGTTGCTGTTATGTGATCTCCCCAACTCCAATTGGCCCCGCGATCCTCGCGCTCGAAGCACCACGCCAGGCGAGGATCCGGGGCTTTCTGGTGCGGCAGTGGTCCGTGAAGGCGCAGACGAACCACCCTGGGGGTGGGTTAGGGTTTCCGTTTTTGCCGTGGCCGTTGGGTGGTGTCTCAACCCGGGAAGGAAACGGATGCCAGTTTTTGGGACACACATGGGTGAAAAAGTAGCTGAGATCTTAAGGGTCGCTTCCTTCCGGGCGTCCCAGACACATCCCCCCAAAACCCGAAAGGGTTTGAGCTGGGCCGAGCCTTCTCTTGTCCCGCACATGAGCGAGTGACTTTGCGCGCAAACGTTTGCAAGAGGATGGGACTCCACCACCACGACGTCTCTTCAAACACCCAGCACCTTTCTGATTTTTTTCTCGCACTTGAACATTATTTCAAACGTGTTGCGTTACACAAACAAGTGGCTTTGATGGCTGTGGGGTTAGTGGACACCTCCAACTATCTGTGGGCAGGAGCTCGCGCGGGAGATGCGCCGGCAAAGAGCCCTGCAGGACCCGAGTGCGGCAAGGGAGGGCCCTCTCCGCTGTTGGCTTACTCACGGCCTATCCATGAGTTGGGTTTTCAACCCCATTTCAAAGAGCTTTCATGAGCGACACGCGGACATCAATAGATGACAAGGGCTTGGGAGTCGAGCTTTTTCTTTGTGGGCTCAGACAGTTTTGGATTGCGAGCCGACGGGAGCGATGGATCAGCGGAGACTTGGAACCCTGACACCTGCTTGCCAGGAGTCTAGTGGAGGCAGGTGACTCGAGGGATGGGGCCGTGGCAGTTGGCAGAGACGAAAGGTCAATTGACACACAAGGGGTTGACACCAAAAGGGTACATGACACAAAAACAGAGTTCACACGGAAAGGGTAGAACATTGGACATTGTGTTGGCTCCTCTTGTTTGCCTTTTCC